GCCTAACTCTAGAAAGCCCCAACAAACTGTGAGACCTTTTGCCATCATATAGTGGCCAGGTCTGTTGAGCAAATAGTCAGGGATGCCCATCTAATTTGAGCAGTCCCAAAAAGAACCTGCTGAATTATGGATTTACAGCAGGAAAGTGGAACACCAGCGCACAGTGGGCCAAAAGCCTAATCTAGCGCGCAATAGTGTTTAACTCGACTTAGAAAGCACTTAGTTTTCTGAAATTTAGAATGCTAGAAAATTAAATGAGCTATAATATCGATGGAATGGGAATAATATTTAATAGGCGTGGCACATATTATAAGTCAAAATACAATATCCTGAAAGGAACCTTTTATTACACATCTTCTGTATATTAACATTGTTTGGAGTATCCGAATTTCTTGAAATATTTTGAGGTTGTTGAAGTATTTCTCGTCTGACACTTTTTCTGAATCTTAAGGGGGCGAGGTATATATATATAAAGTATATATGAGAAATGACATCAGATAGAGTTCTTAAATATTACCAAAGCAACATTAACATCTACGCAAATGCTTGAGGGAAAAATGTGCGGACTAGCAATAGTGGGCGTGGTACCTTCCATATGTTTTAAATATGTAAAATTATTAAATTTATGAAACTATAACTACTACACTATTTCCAATTGTATATCAGAACTTTCCAATTGAATTTCAGAAATTTCTAATTATGTTTCAGAAATATATTTTATATTTCAGAAAATTCTAATTATATTTTAGAAATAGATTTTTTATTTCAGAAATTTTTAATTATATTTCAGAATTTTCTAGTTATATTTCAGAAAGTTCTAATTATATTTCAGAAAATTCTATTTATATATCAGAAATTTCTGAAATACAAAAGGAATTAATATTTAAATTAAATTTAAATTTCCTGAAATAATAATGAAAAATTCTGAAATGCAAATGAAAAGTTTTGAAATATAATTGGTAGTTTCTAAAATATATTTAGATATTTTTGATATATACTTGGAAATTTCTGAAAAAAAAATTAGAAATTTCTTAAATATAACTAGAAAGTTTTGAAATATAATTAGAAATTTCTGAAATAAAAAATCTATTTCTGAAATATAATTAGAATTTTCTGAAATATAAAATATATTTCTTAAACATAATCAGAAATTTCTGAAACATAATTAGAAGTTTCTGAAATATAATTAGAAGTTTCTGAAATATAATTAAAAATTTCTGAAATTCAATTGGAAAGTTCTGATATACAATTGGAAATGGTGTAGAGTTCTCAAATTTTGCACAAGTAATTTTTGGCGTCCTTATCAACTTTTGGGGAAAATGGGCGAACTATTAGAAGTAGGCATGATACGTCAGAAATGAAAAAAATAATTAGAACTATTGGGGGACGCCAATAGTGGGACTGGCACCTCCCATATGCATTTTATACTAAAAATGGTATATCATAGACACTAGAACAGCTAAAGTTTAAACTTAACACGAGAAACGGTACTTTTGGTACTATTCGTTAAAAAATTCGGCGGACTACCAGTTGTGGGCATCACCCAAATGAAGTCAATACTCAAATTCATATATCTGGGAAATCACCATTTCGCAACTTTTCATAATTAGCTTCGAATTTTTGCCGCGTCCTATTCACACTTGAAATTCTAGCAAAGATCATGAAGAAATTTTTGGACATTTTGCTTTAATTTATTGTTATTATCATTATGTCCCAGGAAAAACTTACATTGAAATGCAATGAGTTAAAAAGCTAATAAAACCTCTTTTCACTACTTCTTCATTAGCATTTTACGACATTATTTTAACACGGTGATGTCATTGGAGGCAAGTACTTCCACGCTCGCTTACAAATAGGGAGTTAAAGAAGTACTTGCAATTTCTCCTACAAAGAAGTTGTTTAATAAGTTATTTTATTTTTTAATAATAAAAAGAGCCAGCTAGAATACGAACCAGGGACTTCGGTTTGTTAGTCAACTGTTCTACTCACTGCACCACTGCTTAGCTATTTTATTGCGCCTCAAATAATGGTTTTCACATACAAATTTAATTTTGGTTTATGTTAAACATAATTCTTATAACACGCAATTAAATAAAATGTGCAAACAAAATGACAAAGCCGTAAGTAAAGTACTTCTATATCAGATTAAATGAAAGTCATTACTAGAGTATTTCTAAGTAATGCAGACGATTGTCATTGAAAAGTAAGTGGTTATGGAAGTACAACTCATTACCGAGTTTTTGCTGGGGTCTTCATACATGATCCAATCTTAGCCATTACATATTTAATAACGGTATCAAATTAATTTTTTTGACATGAGTGCTTGTTCAAAACTGAAGAATTCGCCACCAAATACTCAAATTTTGGCCGATAACGAAGAAAGGGGCAAAAAGTGGCAGCCAATTTTTTTACTATTTTATAGCCAAAGGGCTACCATTTCCAACGTATATAAAATATGAAATTCAAAGTTTCTTGAAAAATAATTTCAATATACCAACACTTTCCGATCTTAATTTTTTGGCGAACGATACCATAAAAATGTTAAATACAGATTAATACAATTATATAAATATTCCTTGTAGTTAATAAATAATAAATAAAATAACCTACCTAACAATTTTTTTTCGACCAATTTCGCGCTAGATTGCGCATTTGGTCCATGTGCAACGATTGTGTTAGCATCGTTAGTATGTAGGCGAGCTCCTATCTTGGCTAGTGCATCCGAAATATTATTCCCTGGAACATTAGCATGTCCCGGTACCCAGATAAGTTCTAGGTTCGAATGGTTCTCGTTAAGAGCCGACCGACATTCGCGACCCAGTCTGGATGTCGTATAGACTCCAGTTAGAGATTTGATGGCAGACTTGCTGTCGGTACATATACGAATATTAATATTGAATATTCTATAGTACGTCATCCAGTTTACCGCTCTTATTAATCTTCCTTTTTCTTACTTTTTCCAATTTCGAACAAACAAATTTTGAAACGAATTCGCAGTACGAATAATTTGATTGTGTTCCATTCGACGAATTTACGCAACGAATTTTTGTCGACTAGTTCGTCGTGCTATACGAAATTCGTCGTTCGTCCCAATTGTGCGTATACCATAAAGCTCACCCTTTTATTAAACAAGGGAATCGCATAATACTTTCAATAGTTCTGCAGTAGGTGGTTTTCTCAAGAGCTTTCTACCAAACAATCGCCCCTTAAAATAGAATGGGCTTCACAACCATGTCGAAAATCCACTTAGCAGTCTTGGGGCTTATGCCCCAGGTATTCCCAATGGCTTTCCTGCAAGCGTAGATGACAATAGATGCCTTTGAAGATCTCGCTTGGACGTTTAGATTCCATGACAGTTTAGAATCTAGAACAATGCCCAAGTATTTAGCACTATCTGATAGAGTTAGTTCCACTCCATTCAGACAAGGTAATGGGAAAGAGGCAATCTTGTATCTTTTAGTAAAAAGAACAAGTTCAGTTTTCCTTGGATTGTCACCAAGACCACTGTTTGAGCTCCAACGGCTCAGTCCTAGGACATATTGAAGGCAATGTCAGATAGTGACAAGATGTTTCCCGGAAACAGACACCGCCACATCGTCAGCATATACATTTTTTACATTTCCGATTTTTTCTGTTCTTAATTTTTAAATAAAATTAAGGTATGTATTTAAAAAAATATTTTGTACTTATTGTTGTACATATTTTATACATACCAAATTTTTTATATACTTACATCCATTAAATATAATAAAAAAAATTAAATACATGGAATATTACATAAATTTATGCTTCATTAATATTCGTTTTTTTTTTTTCATCTTACAAAAAAAATTAATAGCTGCGCAACCGTTCAAAAATTGCGTGAATAATGAACGAATTTATATTATGATGTTCAAAAAAGTTCGTGTATCAAGTGCAATCATTTTAGAAACGTGCAATAATTTTTAAATAAAAAACAATTAGTCGTAAGGAAAAAAAATATCCTTAGAAAAATTAAATTGTATTTTTGCGTTATGAAAATGAATAAACCTATAAAAATATTGGTGAAATATTAAATATGAAGCCAAATACTGTCGGTGATATTGTACAAAGGTATAAAAGTAAAGGCCGCATTCATTTAAAGAAAAACGACATAGGCGAAAAAGTTGACAGATATAGACAGCCGGTTCTACGTACCGGAATGACCCGAATTATTCGGCCAAGGGCTGTCAACCCCAGCAACAACAATACAATTTTCTGCAGCGGAGCAACATCTTCCGGCATTGCTGCTCCGCATCCTTTTGGTCCGTGCCGGAATTGAATTAAATCTCGGACCATGCCAGAACCGACTGCACCATCGAATTAAGGTGCAACTCTTGTTGGGCTGGTGTCATCTCAGGAACTGCTTCGGACTTAATGATCATTGAGAGTGGTCGGAAAATTTCGTCACCTCATGCTGCTTACAACAACGGCGAGATTCATCAGCGTCGTCGACAACAACATCGTCATCTTCATACGCTACCCCTCCGCCCTCTCCCTTGCAATGACAACAACAGCAGCAAATACAACAGCAGCAGCAACAACAATTACCGTCGCCGCTAACACCCTCTATTGCACTCCGGAGACCTGGGATGATATCCATATTGCAGTTCAACTGCAATGGCCTCCAAAACAAAATTTCAGAGATAACCCGATATATGCAGCACAACAACATCGTGGTCGCTGCGGTCCAGGAGACTAAACTGACGAACAATTCCAGTCTGCAAAGTTGTAACGGATACAACATTCTCCGAAAAGACCGCACCAGAAGTAACGGTGGACATTGCTTTCATCATTCACAACACCGTGCAGTATAGAGCTCTTTCTCTCGATTCTAACTCCAGAGACCAATATCTTGAAGTTCAAGGTATTGCAGTTAGATCGAGAGAAACTGACTTAAAGCTCTATAATGTCTATATTCCGCCAGTAGCCAGCTGTCCAGCAGCTACCGTCCCGACATCAGGACTTTGTTAGACGGCGATATGCGTCTTGTCCTAGGGGACTTCAACGCCCACAATCAGCTCTGGCACTCTTCTTTAGGGGAAGACCAGAGAGGTGCGTTGCTGGCGGAACAGATTGACGAGTCCACCTTCTGCACCCTGAATGATGATGCCCCCACGCGGATTATGGGTACCTGCGCTAGCTCGCCCGACATCACCATAGCGAGTGCTAGTTTGATCAACTACGCAACATGGCGAGCCGTAGTTTCTCTGGGATCAGACCACTTACCCATAATCGTTTGTCTGGATCGACCTAACGATTTTATCGTCTCTGAACGCCGTCAATACGTAAACCAAAAGAAAGCAGACTGGTACGACTTCAGAGAATTCACCGAACGCATCTTCAGTGATCTAAATTTTCCCTCTCCTTCAGAGAGGAAGTTCCGTGAAACTGTCATCTCAGCAGCTGCTCGCTTTATACCTGCTGGTCGTATATCCGTAGTGCGGCCGCACTTCCCAGCAGAAGCGGCCAGGCTTGCAGATGAAAGAGATGACATCCGAAATACCAACCAAGATCCAAGACTCACCCAGCTGAATATTGAAATCCGCAGGTTGGTAAATGAGGACAAGCGGAAAAGATGTCTAGATCACTTGAAGAACTGCAACCTAAGTTCGGGTGTTAGTAAGTTGTGGTCTACAGTTCGATCTCTCTCTAACCCGACGAAGAAGGATGACAGGGTCGCTATTAAGTTTGCAGATATCCCCATTTCCGGCAATTCATTGAGCACCCTGAGATAGACAAGGCGAAACGAAGTGTTGTTCGCAAACTTCACAACCTTCTAGTCACGGACATACCACAACCCTTCACTCCAGCTGAAGTTGCAGACGTCATCAACAACGCGATTGGCCCCGACAGAATATCCACACTGATGTTAAAACACCTTGGCGAGCGGGGAGTTGAGTACCTGACTATGGTCTTCAACAAGTCAGCATTACAGCATTAACCGCCATTGCCACTCAGATCTCACAAGGCTTAAATCAGCAGAGGCCCTGTGAAAGGACGGTCCTAGTGGCTCTTGACCTGTCGAAGGCCTTCGACACTGTCAGTCACGCCACACTCTTCGAGGATATCCTGCAATCCACAATGCCCAACAACACGAAGAGATGGATCGTAAATTATCTGAGTGGCCGTCAGTCGTTCGTGGAGTTTAGAGACAGACGCTCCAAACCCCGTAGAGTTAAACAAGGCGTACCTCAAGGTGGAGTACTATCGCCACTTTTGTTTAACTTCTACCTCTCTAAGCTCCCCGCACCTCCACAAGGCGTGGAAGTGATTTCATATGCGGACGACTGTACAATCATGACGACGGGCCACAACATTGATGAATTATGCGTTCTGGTGAATGGTTATCTCCACGAAATACATCAGTTCTTCACTGCGCGTAACCTGCAATTATCACCAGCGAAGTCGTCAACAACACTTTTTACCACCTGGACGAAGGAAGTAAACCTAAACCTTGGCATCGTGGTCGATGGAGTCCAAATTCCGACCGTGCACCACCCAAAAATATTGGGGGTCACATTTGATAGCCTCTTTACTTCCCCAGCTCACGCCACTGCAATCACGCACAAGTTGCGAAGTAGAAACAAGGTCCTCAAAGCGCTAGCCGGCAGCACTTGGGGTATGGATAAAGAAACCTTGTTGGCTACATATAAAACGATTGGTCGGTCAGTGGTTAACTATGCTGCTCCAGTGTGGTCACCTTCGCTAAGTGATACCCAGTGGAGAAACATTCAAAGCTGCCAAAATGCCGCCCTAAGGACTGTAACGGGCTGCCTACAAATTACCACGGAACATCACCTGCACGAGGAAACGAAGATCCTTCCAGTCAAGGAACACAATGTCATGTTGACTAAACAGTTCCTCCTGGGATGTCATCGGAGAAGTCATCCCAATTTTAACATCATACAATTGGATACTCCCCCGAAGCATGTCAGGAAGGATCTTCGTATATACGAGGAAAACATATGCAGATATGTGCGGGATCCACTGGATCAGTCCTCGTATTCGGCAGCTTTGAACGACATTCATAGAGACGCCATAAATTCCGCGGTCGCAGGATACCGCATGAATGTCGTACTTGGAGGTCGCCCACCGCCCATAGCAGACACGGAAGAAAACCTGCCGCGGAAAACAAGAGTAGTTCTGGCACAACTAAGATCGGGATGGAGCAACAGGCTCAATGCCTACTGGTCACGTATAGACCGTGCCGTCCCCAACGAATGACCTGGATGTGGTCAGGGTCCTCATGACACCCGCCACATATTCAACTGCTCAGCCAACACTACTTCACTCTGTCCAATGGATTTATGGACGCATCCAGTTGAAGTAGCCCAATTTTTAGGCCTGGACATTGATGTAGAACCCAAACTAGATTATTGTATAGTTTTAGCTGTTACAACAACAACAACAGATATAGACGAGCGTCTAACACTTAGGAAAATCAAAACAAATCCGCGCTAAGTGCTCCCAAAATTGTTTCTGAAGTGAAAAAGTAATTAATTAAGACTTTCAGAAACAACAATTCATCGAACGATAAAAAGCCAAGGATATAATGGCCGAGTGTCTAGTAAGAAGCCGATAGAAAATAATAAGGATGGAACGTACCGACTAAAATTTGTGAATGAACGTCTTAAAAAATATTTAATTTGGTGGGACGACGTTATATTTCTTTGATAAGAGCGTATTTAATATATTTCAAGTGTCGGACAGTAACAGTAATCCTTCTGGAGTTATTTATGGGTTCGGATACCCTAGCCACCTTCCAGTCATGCATGCTGTTTTAGTAACAAAGCCGACCGTTCGTTTGAGCAGGCCATAAGTTTGACCCGACCTCGGTACCAGCCAGCATCGTCGCATTGAGGGGGACCTGGGTTCTCCTTGAGAACTCGCCAGAATACCCCATCAGATTTTTGCGCACCAAATCCCAGTTAGTATGGTAAATGGTGCAATCAGAATCACTCCTATCGATGACAGCCTGAACGAGGGCCCTTTGGCAACCTCACTGAAGGTCCTGTCAATAGATTTATGGCGCATAAGACGTTTCGACTCGGGCTGATTTGACTGAGCTTGGGCCTCCTGCTCCTAACGTTGCCGTTTAGATGGGTCTTTCGACGTGAGGAGAGGGATATTATGCTCAGCCAATACGGGCTTTGCCCAGTTCAAAGATGATAAATCATCTGAGGAAAGGGAATCGGTAGGTATGTTACCTAACCGATCAATGTTTTTTTTGTCGGCGGCACGCCTGGTGGGTTTGTTTGCACCCGAGTGGGCTGGAGGCACAGTTGGGGCACCCGAAATCTTGGAAGACAGACGCTGGTAGGTTTGACGGACGTTCAATGGACATGGTCCAAAAGGACCAAAGAACGGACTAGAGACTACCAGGTGTCCCACTCATGCAAAGTGGAAGAAACACCAAGAGCTGGTTGCCGCCCCTTAGGGGATAAACAGACGCTACCAGGCATTGGGTGGTAGTTCTTAGTAAGTGCTCGCCGTGAGCCCCTCTGGTATGGGTAGCCCTATCCAATACGGCCTGCATGGGTCATTACACTTAAGTCTTCGCATCGCGTCAAGATGACTACCCTTCGCGAAGGAATTTGTCTATGTAAAATTTTATAAATTTTAAGAAAAAACTTTATCTGAACAAATTTTTTAAACAAAATTAAGCAATTTGTTGTATTTTTTAAAGAATATCTTATATATTAATTTTCTACATTAAAAAGTAAAATCCTGATATAAATTAATGAGATTTTTGATAAAATGTGAACGTATTGTTAATTTTTTAGGTCAATAAAGTATTTTGCTTTTTAGGTTTTATGCTCATTTTGTGATGATAAACACCTCTATTTGTAAATATCTAAATTAGTATTTTTTCTGTACCACACGACAGTTCACTTTATATTGGTTCCAAGGTCTGTTTAGATGTCTAAATTTAAATGGAGAAGATAAATCTGGAGTTCAATGGTTTTCTTTGGATACAAGTCGCTTCCCTTTGGCAGTTAAAAATGTTGAACGAACATTCAGTGCGTTTTTTCTAATAATTCTTTGGGTCATTTCATCAATTACACTTTTTTAAATTTTTTAATGATATTGATTAAACATCTCATAATTGTATTTCATTGATTTACACTTATTCTAAAAATCGAAACTAATTTTGTATATTAGAATTGCCTGGTTATTTTCCTTTAAACATTTTTAACGCAAATAACTTCACAGTTTCACACAATGAACACGTGTCTTTTTACAATAATATAATATAATAAATTCCAAAAAGTAATTGAAAAATAATTTGAAAACCCCAACGAAATTAACTGGATTTATAAAAATGCAAAACACTTTATTGACCTGCAAATTCTGATGAAAATTAATAAAATGCAACAACAAATGCATCAAAATTTATATTTTGATATTTTTTCTTGGTTTTCCCATTTTACACAATCTCTATTTTTAATTGGAAAACATAAATTTACTTTTTACCTTTTTTTCGAATTTTATTTATGAACAAAAAACAAAATTCTCTTATATTCTTGATAAGGAATCCTCACCAAGGAAATGGGAAACAAAAAATTAAATGTGTATATTACTCATTTATCTCATTATAAGTGATTCGATAAAAAATTAGTTTTTTTATTTTTTATTGATTATTTGAAAAAGGACATTTTTTAGGTAGGCATATCCTTGCTCTGAATTGAACGAAATTTGGAGGATGTGTTAAGCATATCAAATGTCTGTACAAAATTTCATTAAGATATACATACGTTTTTTTCTCTCAGTTATGGTAATTTTTAATTTCAGGATATATGGTAAGGACATGAATCCTATAGGATTTATTGACCAAATTATATTTCGTCAATTAAAACATGTGTGCCAAATTTCGTTACTCTACCATAACTCCTATTTAGGTGCGCCATCCTTATGTAATTATTGCTATTTTTATGAGTATAGTTTCTATGATTAATGATTGTTTAATTATATTTTTACGCTTCAAAAGTTGTATTTTTGACGTTTTGTTTTCAACTTAATTTTTCAGAATACAATCTGTTTGGTATTGCGCTACTGGTTGCCCAAGAAATAAAATAAAATCACTTTCATTTGACGGTAAGAATATATAGTTAGAAAATAATTTTAATTTTTTGGATATAACTTAACTGTTTACAACAGTACCAACTTGTACAAATTGTAGAAATCCTATGAATGAATATTCAAAATTAAGGCACACACAACATAGTCGTTTACTTCGTATATTACCTGCGGAAAGTATAGAATCACCTCACCAGCTGAATAAAGTTTTTCGTGCGTTAACTGTTCGCGTTTTGGATCACGTTTTTGATTGTAAATTGGAACTAGGAAATCGTTACTTAATAATTGGTCATTACAATTACGTTTCTCAAAAGCAAGAATTTGAAGCATGGAATCTAACCACTATTTAGATTCCTTGAGGGACATATCTGAAAGTCAGTTGGAAGCTTTGTTAAGATATGATAGTCCACCTGAAACACCAGCTGAACTTGCAAATCCTATTCAAAGAGATTTTAATAAAAATAACGTTCTGGATTCTTATAACAGTCGCATTCATGATAACCGCGAATCTTTTTTTTCACATTTAGATTCCGAAATTGATTTTTCAATTTTTCATCGTGATTCACCAAATTTGCAATGGTCACTATCTGCTATAAATATACAATCCAATAACAATGATGATTCAGTTATTGCAACTACATTTAATACTGATGAAATTTCAAATATTTCAATTGGGGATAATAATAGAAACCATCAAGTGCCTCAAAAAGTCCATTTTTTGCAATTTGATACAAATGAGCAGAGGACTTTAACCACCAAACCCTGTAACTCTTTTGGTCAATATCGGAAACAAGAATCCCTTCAAAAGCTGAATAGCTTACAAAGTTGTGCTCTGAATGAGAAACGCCCAGACGACTTTAAAGAAATTGATAATATTTTAAAAAATATTGATTTCGAAAACATTCCAAACGTGGAAATATTGGGTCATTCCTTTTATGACCCAATTCGGATTCAGAGAAAGGTATTTAATAATACCCCAGGAAAATTAGGCAAAAAAATGAGCAATCTGGGGAATTTCAGATAGCTAAATGAAAAATGGCACATAGTTTTCCCTTAGCATAATTAGTAAGGATTAAAAGTCACCGAAAATATTGGAGGTCAAAAGTTACAAAAATTAGTTTTTACCGAATATCTTGCTTAATATGTTATTATAATTTCTATAAAGATTTGAATTTTCTTCATCATTAGTTGTTTTCGAGCCATAGTGCATTATTTTTCCATTGCACTAATATTTTCAAATCTTAATATAGATTGTACTAATAACAAATGTCATAATTTTTACGTTATTCATAAGCAGTTAATATATGCTTATTGGGGATATAACTATTTACATATTTTGCAAATATGCAAGTTGGCATAGGTAAGTCGAATAGAGCATTAAAAGATATAAAAAACCAAGGTATTATTTTTTCGCGATTGTTAAAAAAGTTCACGCACCAAATGGCTGTCCGTCTGTTTATTAAAATAATTTTTTTTGAAGGCCCCATATGTCCTTGGAATCCAAATCTTAGAATATTAGAGATATACTCTTAGAAATTTCTTTGTGTAAAACCAGTAAAATCGATCTATAAGTATCAAAGATATGATCAAAACAAATACGATCAACAAATTTCAACTCGTTTGGTGGGAATGTTGTGTTTCTTATTATTTTTATGGACTTTTTGATTAGTGGATGTATAATTTTATATTTGCAAAAACATCAAAAAGTCATAACCCAAATGTATGTATATACACATTTCCACCGAAAAGTCTGCTTTTGTCACATCATATCGGTGTAAATACCAGTACAAACTTGAACAAAAAATTTGGTTTATATTAGAAATTGGTGTTAGTGCGTCATGTTTTTGCTTTTGCGTACGACGCATAATAAGTGAGATATTCACTAAAAACAGATTTTTGTAGCCTTTGACCTCCAATATCTCGCTTAGCGTACATGCTAAGGAGGAGCTATGTGCCAATTTTCATTTAGCTATCTAAAATTCCGCAAAACCCTTATTTTCCTGGGCTATAAATAAAAATTAAGAAATATTTAATCTAATTTCAGTTTAAAAATTTTTAGAGCCTAACACAACTTGAACATAAAAAGAGTTTACAGGAACAGATAATAGCGTCATGTCCAGCTTCCATCGGAGAACTTCACCCATATTCATTTTCGGAAAATTTCTGTTCTGAAAATATTAATCTTACAGAGTTGAATAATATACATTTGCGCGAACTATCAATTAGAGATGACAACCAAGATATTCCATTTGATGACAACTTTTGTGAAATTGACGGGATTTTTGAGACATTAAATTTTGAAGAAATTTCAGAAAGCTCTAGTTATGTTCCAAGACAGGTAGGTATGTATATGTTTAAATACTAACTCCCATGTTATGGAATTCACTCATATCTTTTGCAAATGATCGTCATTGTTTTTTAAATCACTAATTTTTTAAGCACGTTTTGGTTACTTTCTCTTATTTTTTATAATTTTTAACAGAAGGGTTATGACTAAAAAGGTTTTGTTTATTTTGCGATGTTGTATTTGAAATATTATTTTTTTTTTCAAAACTATTCAACTTACATAACAGTCCAGATTTGTGTAAAAAAAAACTAGTAAAATTATAAAACAGTAAATTCGCGTATTATTTTCGGTTAATTAAATAATTTTAAATTATGTGATTGTTAACTGGTTGAGTGAAAACCTAAAATAACACTGTGATACAAAAGTGAAGAAAAATAAAATGCAGGCGTTCTCATATACCAATTCTATTTCGTTATAGTCCATAGAGTAGGAATATATTTTTAATTTTTCCCGATCACTTCGTTTAGTTCCTTTTTAAGAGCAAAAGATGTGAAAAAGAGCTATTTTTGAAGTTTTAACTTTAAAAAAATATATGTTTGGTAGTTTGCAACCGATTTTCAAATTTGCATTGCATTTTTTTGCTGTATCACTGTGTAATTATTAGTCGAATAAACCCATTAAAAGAAAATCCTGAATAATATAATCCTTTGAATAGTTCTTTAAAACTGATTTTATATGAATATAAACATATGGGGAATTTCATATCAATTGACCCAACTCAAAAAATCGATTTCGACGAAATTTGTGTAAGTCAGACACAAATTTTCAGCTCATCGGTCAAGAACTGCCGGACTTAGAAGGGGTCAAAGTTGGACATTTTGGTCATACAGGGTTTTATTCAAATGAGTGTAACTTTTCACCTATTGGACTTAGCAAATTTGTCTAAAGGAGTTCAGATAGCTATTTCTTCATTCTTTTCAAAAAAATGTAATATAAAAAAATTCTTTTTTTACTATTTTTTTTTTTTTTTCAAAAAAATACAACAGAAACGTCCATATTTAAAAAATAGGGGAAATTAAGTGCCAAATATTGAAAAAAAATTATTCTTGAGTTAAAAAATAATTTTTTTTATGGCGATCTGAACTCCTTTGGACAATTTTTGCTAGGACCAATAGGTGAAAAGTTACACTCATTTGAATAAAACCCTGTTTGACCAAATGGTCCAACTTTGACTCCCTCTGACTCACTTCTTGACCGATAGAGCTGAAAAATTGTGTCCGGCCTACTATCGCATAGTACTAACATTGGTGCAAATTTCATCCAAACATGAAGACATCGATTTTTAAAGAGAATATAGGGATTAGTTTTTAAATATTAAACGCCGTCTGCTCCCGACCCAAAAAAATAAATATATATTCAATTCAAAAGTTTAAAATCATGACCAAAAGACGAAAAATAAACACATCACAAAAGATTTTGTAAAATGTTTAAACTTTATGGGTCGACATAAAAAATATGATCTAGAAATATAGTATGTACTCTACTAAATGTGTCATAAAAATATTATTCAAGACTTTTCTACCTCAAATGTTTTTAAGAATTAAATTCAATTCCTAAGGAGATTAAAAATTTTGATAATCCTCACATACACATACATATGTACATTAGGTGGCCCCGTTTGTATGGAAGAAAAATAAGGTGTTGATGTTCCCAACTAAAATTAAAGTTTAATTGATTATAAGATAGCGTTTCTGAAAATTTTATGTATTTCCTTTGGAAGAAATATGAAAAAACCATAAAAACCTCAAAAAAATGACCTTTTTGTCCTTTGATCCAGATTGCCAAATATTGACCAATGGACAAAAAGGTCCTTTTTTGAGTTTTTTATGATTTTTTTCATATTTCTTCCAAAGCAAATATATTAGTATCATAAGAAAGGTCCTTGAGAGACGCTTTCAGTGGCATAGCAGACATTTTTGTGTAACAGTAAAAGTAATCGAAATTTTCTTATTATTCATAAAATTTCAGATTTTTTACATTTTAACATATATGAATTTAATATAATTCATTGAAATTAATACACAATAATATTCAATAAAGTCTACCGAAAGCGTTTTGTTTTTCAAAATTCAATCTACAGCCATAGTCGTATCTATTTACACACACTGAAAATTTAAGTATTCTTCGAAATAAAACAACATTTTGGTACTTTAAAGATACATTTGAAGAAAAAAATGTTCATTACTACAATCCTTAAAGGGTGTAGATCACGTTCGTTAAAAAATATTACGAAGAAAGGTCCTAGTTATTGCTTAAATTCGCAAAAGTAGACCTAACCTTCAGTTTTCAAAAATATTTACAAAAATTTATTCTTTTTCAAAAGTATTTACACATTCCTTAAAAGCGACTAAAACCTCTATAGTCTTGGAAAAAACGTCATGGTTTTTGCTAGTCAGTTTTTGTTATTAGTTAAATTCAAATGTTCTTAAAAAAAGTCTATAAAAAGCATTCAAAATGGTGAAAATAAGGGAAATTCCCCTCGAGATGCGAACTGAAATTATAACCAAATTTAGAATGGGTGTATCGGCGTTGGAATTAGAAAAAGAGTATGGAATATGTCGGAAAACAGTATATAATTTAGTAAAAAAGAAAAATACATACGGAAGTCTTCAAAATAGAAGTAGAAGTGGTCGAAAAATGAGAACAAACAAAGAGGAAGATTGTTCAATTGTGAAAGTATTCGCTGAAAATCCAGATGCAAGTCCAATTAAAGTTGCTGAGGAGTCAGAAAACATTATTGGAAAACATATAAGTGACAGTACAATACGAAGAAGATTAAAGAATTATGATATAAGGACTTATGTTGTCCGAAAAATAATAGATATATCTCCCAAAAACAAAATAAAACGTCTAGAGTTTGTTAAGGAGTATATCCATAAGCCAAAGGAGTTTTTGGCAAAATGTATTATGGACAGACGAATCTTCTTTCCAATTTGAAGGTTCATTTGGAAGAACATATATGCATCTTTCAAAGGGATCAAGGCAAAAAGCATTGCAACCTTTTAATAGATTTGGTGGTGGCTCGGTAATGTTTTGGGGATGTGTCTCTTATAATGGATATGGGGATCTAATACCAATTAAAGAGACACTAAACCAATCGGGATACCTGGATATATTAAATGACCATGTGTTTCCATCCGCACGAAGACTGTTTGCTAGTGAAAATTGGATTCTACAGCATGATAATGCTCCATGCCACAAAGCATGGTTACCAACTACCTTTTTAAATAGGGTTGGACAAGATGTTCTTCCGTGGCCACCACAGAGTCCTGACCTAAATATAATTGAGAATGTCTGGGCAGCCATAAAAAGGAGGAGAACATTGAAAAATGGCCGTAAACGAGAGGAAACAATTGAAGAAGTGAAATGTATATGGAATAGCCTGGAAATTGACTTTGTGCGAAAATTAGTTGATTCAATTCCAGATAGACTACAAGCTGTTATAGACGCGGATGGAAATTTATCTGGTTATTAAAAAAAACGTTACTTTTTTGTTGTTTTATCTTATTTTTAATGATGTGTAAATAATTTTGAAAGGAAATAAATATGAGTAAATAATTTTGAAAACTAATGGTATGAACTTCTTTTTCGATTTGAACCACTAATTGGTAGATTTATTTATAAAATTTCTTAGCTATCATTATCTATAAAGTCTATGGATTGTGATAGAAATCTTTTTTTTCCAATTTTATTTACAAGGCCGCAAAATTTTGATTTTATCCTAGCTTACTTAATTTTTTTAGTGTGTGTAAATATATACGACTATGGCTGTATATATGAAATTTTATTTAAATTGATCGTACGCTACCAAAACATTATGAAATAATGTAAACAATAACATAGAAATCGTTATTTACAAAGCAAGCGTAACAAACAAATAGATGTTTGGGATAAATTGTGTTACTATTTTAGTTAAACTAAAAAATTTTATTCATAATAGAATGAGACCATAAAGTGTTATGGTTTCGAAGTTTCTTTTTACTTAAAATCCCTTCAATGAAGAATTGAGTTGGAAAAACTAACTGAAATTTTGTATTGATCTGTTATGAATATAATAATGGTATATAATACCATTATTTTTGCAATAATTTACGCGTCGCTATTCGTAATTTTAATGCAATTTTAAATTAAGCTATATAAAATGGTGTGACAAAAAATAGAGCCAGTTTGCAAAAATATAAAAATTTACCAATTTGTAGACAATTTTTAAATTGAAATCGATACAAATTGTAAGTTTAAGGCTTATTATTACAATCCTAATATAATCTAAATGATCTTCATGTTCAATGATCTTCATAGTACATTGGGGACAAAATCGAGTGTTGGAACGTCAACGTACAGCTATATGGATCATATCAGAATAAAATAAATATACTTTTTTACATCTGACCACAAAATCTTTCGATTCCTGCTCAAGGGGAGACTTCAAATGTTTTTTAAAAGTTTTATTTTTTTCTTTCAGGATCTTTAAAGTACCATATAATACTTTTCTACTTATTTTATCCTTTAAATTATTTTTATACATGAGAGATCTTACTATTAAGCTGGCAACATCTAAGTTATATTCCCTTTTAAGGTTACACGGAGCACACAAAAGTGTCATCCTCAGCATGAGACTGATTTTTCCGCTTAAAAAAAGATGTAATTTTTTATTTTTTTCTCGATATTTTAGGCTTAAACTTATATTTTACAGCATCTTCTATTACTTTCTTTCCTAGATCAAGCAGTGTTTTTATCGTTTTTCTGCTGTATTGCCTTCAATGTTTGCCTCTGCCCCTTTTTGTACTCAAAATTATAATTTTTTAATGAGATTCTTTTAAAATAATAATAAAAAACATTAAACTTACTATTTCGATCGATTTCAATTTGAAAATTGTCTAAAAATTTTAAAATTTTTTTATTTTTGCAAACTGGCTCTATTTTTTGTCACACCATTTTATATAGCTTAATTTAAAATTTCAATAGAATTACAAATAGCCACGCGTAAATTATTGCAAAAATAATCCTATTATATTCATAACAGATCAATACAACATTTCACTTAGATTTCCAATTCTATTCTTTGCAGGAGAGATTTTAAGTGGGGAGAAACTTTGAACGTGATGGTGGCTCTATTTCATCGAACATCACTGTAATATTGTAAAGCTAATGAAATTACTCGTATGCCGATGTACATATTAAGTACGCTAGATAAATATAGCTAGCAGAATACTTGGGACAAAATAGAGTTTAAAATATTAAAATAAGATACGAAACATAACGAATTTCGAAAAACAGAAAAAACCATTTCGGTGAAATTGTATGGGGTTTATAATGTAATAATTTCAATTAATTACATTATATATTTCTATGTAAAAATATGAAAAACTTAAAAATTTTCCGAAAAAATAACGACATTTGTAATAATTTTGGGGTTGTATACAAATTTGTGTTATGTCTTGGAAATCACCTCACAAAGACATTTCATGTGATACTAAACTTGCATATGGTTTATTTGCCAGAAATGTGAAAAAAAAATCATAAAAACCCTTAAAAAGGACCTTTTTATCCTTTGATCCAGCTCACCAAATATTGACGTTAGGACAACAATTTTGAGAAATGGTATCTTAAAATTAACTAAATTTTAATTTTCGGGAACATCAGCAACTTCCATTTTGGGGCCACCCTAATGTACATTAGGGATATAACTAATTTTGCGAAATTTTTGGCATACCACCACGAGATGGCCAATGTTGTATAATTATTGATAATATTTTTTTAGGTCATTTTAAATCAAAAACATCACGCACCAACCCCAATTTCTAATATATACCAAATTTTTTTAAATTTTTTATTTTAAGATTAAAATATTAATTTTTACCTAAAAGTATACTTTTGTCACATTGCGACTCATCACTGCCTATATCTCAGGACATTTTGATTTTTCGCAAATATACCATTTTACAACCCTAAATCAAAAAGTCCATAACAAAATATTTGTTGATCATATTTGTTTGGCCATATCTCCGATTCTTATGCACGGATTTTACTGGTTTTAAACAACTAAATTTTTAAAATTGTATCTAAACTAATTATCTAAGATTTTGATTCCAAACACATATGGTGCCTTCAAAAAACTGATTTTAAAAAACAGACGGACAGACATTTGGTGGTGAGGGTATATATAACTTTGTCATTCCGTGTGTAACACCGTGTAAAACACGCTCACGTTAAAACGAAGTCATAGAAATTCTCGAAATTCACCCAAAACATTCTTTATTATCCGGTACAGTTTGGTATTGAAAATCAGTAAAATCGGTTCACGACGTAAAATGTTATGAGTAAAAATTTCAGGCTACCTCGAAAAAAACAACGTTTTTTTCCCCAATTCTTAAGTAGTTTTCTCAGAAACTACCAAAGATATTTCGATGAATTTTGTCACACATTTTTTTGTTCCAGGGATACTTGACCCCTGTTCAAACTCATAACTTTTCGGATCGATCCATTAGTAGTCGTAGCTCCCATATAAGGCCCACTTCCGAAAATCATTTAAACGCACATATTTCATTGTCAAATAAAGGTATCTCGATAAAATTCAACACAAATATGTTTCGTCTATATATGAATTACTCTACAAATTTTTTTTCGGATAGTACCATAATTGGTCATAGCTCCCATATTAGGTCCACTTCGGAAAATCACTTAAACGCATATGTTTCATTGATAAATAAAGCTATCGGTATAAAGTTCAACTTGAATATGTTTTGTGTACATATAAATCATAATACCAATTTTCCGCCGATCGGTCCATTATTGGTCATAGCTCCTATATAAGGCCCTCTTCCGAAAATCATTTAAACTCACATATTTCATTGTCAAATAAAGCTATCTTGATAAAATTCGACACAAATATGTTTTGTGTACATATGTACATATGAATCACTCTACGAAAATTTTCTGGAACTCTACAAGTTCTACGAACTTGTTAATACTCTATTCGACTATGATATGCCAAGTTTGTAAGGAATGTCAATAGTTATATCCCTAATATACATATGTATATTTTTTATTAGCTTTATATTAACTTATTAAATTATTCTTTGCTTATTAACATGAATTTTTTATTTCAGTCTCAAAATGAAGTACACTCTAATGAAAAACATCCCACGCAGGTTAAAATACCTGGTTCCCTTTCAATACCATTTTCAGTTAGACAACTCTATGAAATTGTGACAACTAAATATTCAGATTTTGCTTTTATATATGCATTAAGTTCTCAGTTATGCCAAGATCGCGTACCAATGGAGTGCTTTGTAACATTGAAAATGGGTTTGCTTCTAAGTCTAGTTTCCATAGGGGTAAGTCAATCATTTTCAATAAATTTTTTTAATTTTTGGAGAAAAAATAATTTATGGATTTAATAGAATAATGTTGATCGTCCTCCTATACCTATTGTCGCTATGACAAATGACACATATATGACAGATTATCTCATGACAAATATTGGGCAACTAGGATCACGTTTCCTAGGTTCAGTAGATGATGTCAAATCTTTTTCTAGCAGCAATTGGATCGAAGCCGACAGTATTTTACTGGCCCGAGGAGGAGTTTACTATGCAGGTGATTGGACTCGTATAAAATTAAGAAAAGCTGAAACCATTTTCAAAAACATCGAATGTTCTAGCGTCGTTGTAGAGAAGTCTACCGTGAACTATCCGCTAGAAACGGCTATATGGACTCATTGGCGTTCATTTAAGCATGGCTCTAAAGACCAACAAATGTTTAATAAGTTTTTAAAGTAAGTCTAAGTGTAAGCCGCAATATTTTAAAATATAATTTCATATAAGCACATATGGAAGAATACAAATACAAAACAGAAATACAAAGTTTAATCAATTTCAATATATATATAGAAAACATCTCTTAAACTGCAGGACCAATTTAAATAAAATGTACAAGAAAATTATCAAGAACGATTTAGCCTTACTGAAAATTTACCTTGTTACAACCCTGTTAAAAAACAAGGTGAGATACGTGGTGTTAAATGAGAGTACTTCGATTATAAAAAAATATGTTAAAGCTTCACAAATTTGCAAATAAGAACCGATTTGGCTGAAGTTGAAATTTTCTTATATGTAGTTGACATTACGTGTATTATAAAACTTAATAGTAGTACATACTAATGGAATATACATCTAGCTTTACTGTGTTGTATAGATTACGAAAAGTTTATGATCAGTTAAATTTGATCTCATTTATAGATGATAGAAGCTTTAAAATAATTTGTGAAGTCGAAGAGTTAACTTCTTACATGCTGTTTTCCACCTTTAATTTTAATATTGTGATGGCAAAGGATACCTTCAGTAAGGCCTGATCGTCCTCAATCATTTTCTTGTACATTTCATTTAAATCGGACTAGTGGTTTATGAGATACAATGTAATTTCTTATATAAATTGAAAATTATACTAATGTGTATTTCTTTCTGTTTGTTTAATTTTTCATACGATTTTGTATAAAAACTGGCTTTAAATTACGTTTTGGTTGATAACTCCTGAACTACACAAAATCGATCGAAAAGTTTTCACTAGAATGTAGAAGAGAGTTTAGTTATCGTCATACCTAACATTGAACATTGAACTATACACTATGAAAATTGACCTTTAAACTTTTGGAAGTAAAATATTCAGTTTACACGATTTTAAAGACAATATCTTTGTCTTTAATATTAAATCAAAAATTATGTTGGACTTTAAGCAGTTTCAGAGTTTTTTTCCGATAGTGTATATATATTTTTATAGATTTTCTTGCCCCGTCGTATTTTATTGGTATTCAAAAAATTTGGCTTTGAAAAAAATAATAGAAACGACTCAAAGTATAGCATAGGGGACATAAGGTAAGATTTCTTAAACGGAGTATTGATTTAATTTTGAAAATTTTAATTATAAACGAAGTTCTTAATATACAAATATAATTTCTACTTTGTTTTTTATGATAAAGTTTTTTTTTACCGTTTAATTTACCGTATGGTTCCTCACAGCTGATTCAGGGGTTCCACATTCAAAATTTCTTAAATAAAACAAACAGATAATGACAGAAATTACTTTACATTGTTGAATTTTATATAAAACTAGTTTTTAAGAAGATTCCCAGCCGAAAAAATTTTAGATCTACTTATAGATAATGGTAATCCAAATAAAACAAATTTCGAGCATTATTTAAATTTTTTTCAATTTAACCACTCCAGAAAGTTTAAAAGTGACTTAAATATCAAAGAATGTTGACAAACAGGAAGAATAATTTAGAGCGGGTTTTTGAGATGGCAATCAAATGTCAATTAATAATCAGATTAGTTAATCAAAAAATAAATTTAATCTTATGTTAATCCTCTTTGATGTTTTTGAGTACAAGATTAAACTCCGCAGTTTTGCCATACAAAACAACAGAAAACGTCACTGTTTGTTATCAAAACAATGCATATTTTATAAAAAAGAAGAAGACAATTGTAAATTTAATATGAAAATTAATGAAAACTTAAATTAAAAACAAAAAAATGTATTTCGAAGTGTCCATAATTTATACTAATCAATAAATAGAACATTTTAATGTTTATATTTGTAAAAATAGTATTAATTTTTTTGCATCAGCTGTTTACACTTTTGCATTTCGTGCTTAAGTTTAAACCACCTCCATTGGGCGCTTAAACTTGCAAACAAAATTAACTAATTGAGTACTCAAAAACATCTTTTGAGGATTAATTTTAATTTAATCGCTAATCTTTCACCTAAAGATTGGCCCTTAATGTTAAGTTAAATTTAACACAAAAAGTTAAAAGAAAATTAAAATAGTGATTAATTTCTTTTCAATGTTTGTATGAAAATTGTGGTCTGTCTATACGCCAAACAGTGGTCGGTGGGCCAAACCAATAATATACTGATGATATTTACTTATATATGTATGCATTTTAATCTATTTTATTTTAGAATTTTCGGTTTACCAATTTTCGTTTCTGACGACAACCATGAAGCTTTAGTTGATTATACTTTGGAACAAGCATCAATAAGGATTTTTGAATCCACCGTAGATCACTTATCTATTAATGAAGACGACATGCGAAATTTTCTCGTTTCTGTATCGCAAAATGAAGTAAATTTAACACCAGAAGCGGCGCTTTTGTTAAAAAACTATTTTGTAGCTTCGCGTTCCTCAAGGGAAGGTAAGATTCCAAACTCTATAGTAGAAGCATATAATAGTAGGATAACTTGGTAGAATAATGATAGTGATAATAGTGACAAACGATTTTTAATAATAAATTGCTATTTCGCATAAGGAATTACATTCTGTAAAACGTTTGACGTGACTTTAGTAAAAAAAAAATTACTTAAATTAAATTTAAATATGCATTTTATTTTTATTTTAAGATTGTCTTACTAAACAATCATATGTAATGCTTAAACAATTTGCGGAATCATTTGCAAAACTCTCTATGCGTAAAGAGGTTCTATTGGATGATGCATTAGCAGCTATAATAATGTGTGAACATTTTATTGAAAATGTTTTTAGTTCTACGCCAGACCCAGACAATTCTCCACCCCATTTTGGCAGTTTTTCTTTCGTTGGCACAGTTGATGAATATTGTATGCGGTTTAAAGAATGGCTGAATTCTTATATAGATCAATATGTAAAAGAATAATTTACTTAGTTGGTAAGTCAATGAATAAAAATAAATGAAATACGACGTAAATTTATTTTACATGAACACTTCTATCAAAGTATGTACTTATATGTATATTACCGGAACCAAATTAATAGGTCGATTGTGGATAGCAACCAAACTTCAGTTGAGTTGTCAGTATTCAACACTACTAACATAACTATTGGTATTATGAATAGCAATTTACGTTACAAATAATAAAAATAAAGATGTAAATTTAAATTAAACTTAAATTCCTAGAAAATATACACAATTTTCACTACTTATTCATTAGCATTTTAACTCATTATGTTAATACGGTGATGCCATTGGATGCAATAACATACCACGGGCGCTTACAAATTACTACTTAAGGGGTTAAAAACAGGGACCGAAAATAACTGTTATTTTTTTCATTCAAAAGAAAAGGTTACGCAAAAAATCCCTTTATCTTATTTAGGGACTTTTTAACCATTATTATAACCAATTAATATGAGGAATATTTTTTTTTTGGTTATGAATACAGTACTTTTCGCTTATAGTCACAACCCTTAATTGCACAAAGTGATTATAAACAAAAATAGGCTACAATGTGCTTATAAAGAAAATCGTATATATTCATTTTTCGTGAATATAAAAAAATTAAAAATTCATGTTTATTAAAGAAATAAATATTATTTTTATTATAAATTCATTACATTTAAAAAATCAATAATTTTAGTCAGTTTTAGCTTGAGGATGTTAGTTACAGTTGTATCTTCTATATTTTTTTCAAATAAAAAAATTTTAATTTACATCTTGCTCTAAGCAAAATTGCCGCAAAATATTTACTGCAATCAAATTTTTATTTTTAATCTTCTTCAACAAAAACTTCTTCATTTGGATCGTTACTAGTTAATTTACGATACATTTTTTTGTGGTGGTAGTGGATTGCGTGTGTGACAATATCGTGAATACCCTCCACCACCATCAGTGGTATTAGAGGGTATATATAACATTCCGTTTGTAACACCAAAAAATATTCATCTGAGACCCAACAAAGTATATATATTCTGGGTCCTTATCAAATTCTGTGTCGATTTAGCTACGTCCGTCTGTCTGTGTAAAACACGCTCACGATAAAACGAAGCAATAGAATTTAACCAAATTCACCCAAAATGTTCTTAATTTTCCTAAGTTGTTTGGTATTGAAAATGAGCAAAATCGGTTCTCACCTCAAAAAAATAAGCATTTTTTACACATTCTGATGTAATTTTCTCGAAAACTATGCAAGAAAATTCCATGAAAATCACCATACATTCGTTTCTGCACAAGAGCCAGAATTGGTCCACAATTTCATATATGTATGTACCTCCCATACAAAGGTGCATATTCCCGGAAATGGGTTTTTTGTTAATAACTTCCGTCAGAATGTCGATATCTTCACAAAATTTTACAACTTAAAATCTTATGTCAATAGAATTCATTCACAGAAAAAATTTTCTGGATCGGTCCATAATTGTTCATTGCTCCCATACAAGGTTCCCTCCCGAAAATAACTTAAACGCGCATAACTCATTACTAAATTAAGATATCCATATAAAATTTGGTACAAGTATTGCTCATATGAACAGAAATATTACTGGGAAATTTTTTTCCGATCGGTCCATAACTGGTCATAGCTCCCATACAAGGCCCCTCCCGAAAATCACTTAAACGCACATAACTCATTACCAAATTGATATCCATACATTTAGCACAAATATTGCTCTTATATACATAAATTACACTATAAAATTGTTTTACGATCGGTCCATATTTGGTCATAGCTCCCATACAAGGTCCCCTACCGAAAATCACTTAAAACCGCATAACTCATTAGTAAATGAAGATATCCATATAAAATTTGGTGCAAGTATTGCTCTCATATACAGAAATATTACTATGAAATTTTTTTCCGATCGGTCCATAATTGGACATAGCTCCCATACAAGGTCCCCTCCCGAAAATCACTTAAACGCACATAACTCATTACAAACTAAAATCTTATGTCAATAGAATTCATTCAGAGAAAAAATTTTCTGGATCGGTCCATAATTGGACATAGCTCCCATACAAGGTCCCCTCCCGAAAATCACTTAAACGCACACAACTCATTACCAAATACTGATATCCATACATTTAGCACAAATATTGCTCTTATGTACATAAATTACACTATAAAATTGTTTTACGATCGGTCCATATTTGGTCATAGCACTCATACTAGGTCCGCTCCAGAAAATCACTTAAAGGCACAATATTCATTACCAAATAATGATATAAATACAGAATTTTGTCTTTATATACCTAATTGGTCATAGCTCCCATACAAGGTCCTTTTACGAAAATCTCTTAAACGCACATTACGCATTACCAAATAAAGCCATTGATACAAATTTGGCACAAATATTAGTTTTGTATACAAAAATTCTATTCCAAGATTTTTTACGATCGGTTCATATTCACATAGGTGCGGTCGGTCCCATACAAGGTTCCCTTCAGAAAATCGCTTAAACACACATTACTTATTACTAAATTACGATATAGATACAAAATTTGACTGAAATATAGCTTTTATTTACAGAAATTTTTCTTAAAGAATTTTTTATGATCGGTATATAATTGGTCATATCTTACATACTAGGTCCTGCCCCTAAAAGCACTTTAACCGTATTTGCATTATCAATTTGTGTAGAACAAAATAATATATATGTATTTTGAAAATCTTTAAATCTTTCACACACATGCATACATGCAAATTATTAAATATCGCTAAAGCATATCTTAGGGAGCTATAAAAATATAAAAGAAAATGGCGTTTGTAATGTTCAATAATTCTTGGAATAGTAACAGATTTAATCTGTTTAAATTTTGGAGTTTTTCTTTTTGAGACATGAGAAAACTTATTTCTACAAATATTTAATCAGTTGAAGGGCTTATTGCAGAACTCGATATGCCACAAAAACAAAATTTTGAGTAAATCGACATTAAAGTTTAAAAAAATTCTGTTTTTTTTTAATTTGTACTTTAAACACGCCTAATAATCATATAAGGTCGATAACTATCGTATGCCAATAGATGGATATCATAAATAAAGTGAAAACCACTGTTTTAGCAAAAAATTGTGGCTTATCAAGTTATTGCCTAACAATATTTGAACATTTTTTATTTTCAAAAAACAAGTTCTAGTACATTTTCAAAGTGGCTTATCATGTTCTTGCTACAAAAAATTTATAAAATTTATTTTCAATATGAAATTTATATTTTTGGTTATTTTTTATATGAGAATAAATTTGGTTAAATATACTTAGCTAAAGTATTATGCAGTAAAAGGTAGGTCCTGTGGTTTGATTCTATTTTTAATAGAATGACAAAACACATTGTTTTGGGTTTTGCACTGATTAAAATTCGGATTAAAATTTGAGATAATATTGCGTTTATTCAGCATAGTTGATTTTCTGCTTCTTGATCATCATTTTAAACATCTGAACCAATTTCGAAGCATGTTGTGTCAGAAGTCTTGCACGGATTTTAGAAATTTCAAGTCCATTGTTCAAAAGAGATTTCGATACGCACTTTATATAACAGGCGTTATAATATTATGCTTTTTGTATATGCTGATGATTGTAATATGTTTTACAAAGATTATAAGATATGCTGCAATGTCTTTGCTAAATTGGTATGATAAATATGACTTTATATTATGCACATAGTTTGAACATTATATAAGATATTTCCACGAAATGAAAGTAAATCTATAAGCAAAATTTTTTTGATGTTTTGCAATCGAAAATTTTCCAATCAGCAAGAACTTGGTAAGCAACATAATTATATATGAAATTGTTTTTATGCAGTAACAAGGTAAGCCACTTTAATTTCAAAAAATTATATCTCCCGATATTTCGAGCAAAAAATTTTTCTCTTCGTATAATGATACTTGTCTTAACTTGTTCTATCACAGTAACAAAAAAAAAATATCAATTCCGCTTTTATCTCCATTATTATAAAGGACTTTCTTAAAAAGTGAAAAATATGTGGCATATCGAGTTTATGAAATAAAATTTTTTTCAAATTGTTTAAATGGAAAAAGAGGCATGACCCTTATATCGCCAATTTATCATAATACGCTAAAAATCTTTTTAGGGACATTAGATATGGTTCCTAGCAACTCAAAAAGCACATAAAATCGAATTGTGATGGTTGGTGGCATATCGAGTTACTGCAATAAGCCCTTCAATTAAAAAAAGTATTTAAAATTCGGCTCAGCCGAATATAGCACTCTGACTTGTTTTATATAACATGACTTTTAATAGCCCGTGTGATGGCATATGCATGTACATATATGTGAAAAGTGCTTATATCAAAAATGGACTATAAAGTAATCTTTTTATATGAAATTGATCGACAGAGACATTTAAATCTAATAAAATTGACAATATAATTAATGTGACTATAACAGTGAAACAGAAACAGAAAACTACTGTAACTGTTATTTAGCAACCAATATTTTTGGGTTATAGACAACTAAAATTTATTTAATTTATTTTTTGGTCCATATAAATATTAACGGAATGAAAAAACAACTTAATTTAAATTATATTTTATTTATAAAATGAATAGACATTTGTTGCAAAACTGACAGTTTTATTTACTTTGCCAAAGTTATTTGAAAAAAATGTAACAAACAAATATTTTTTGCTTACGATAATTGTTATTCTTAACCAAAAAATATATTTCTCTCTGGTATTGGTAACGATGACCAAATCAATAACCGAATTTTTAACGCGTTTTAGCCCAATTCAAAAAACTCCACATATGACTTTTTGGAAAACAGTTTTTATATTGAAAATATTCTTCCCATTTTATGTACAGACTTTACGATTTCGTTCGAAATTTGGATTTAGCGGATGTTAGCATTATAACATCAGCGATTTTTACCATTGCAAACGTAATCTATCTAATTAGCGGACAAATTGACTAGAATGAAGAATTTAAGACGGTAATAAAAAAAAACAGGTATACAGCATCTACTAAACAATCTAAATAAAGAACTAAAAGTCGCGGTCCTAATGAGATAGTGGAAGTCAAAGGTCATATGTATCAAATCTTTGCATATATCTCTATTATTGTTCTTCGTATGTTTTTGATGTTCTTACAACTTTTGAACTCAATTTCCAATATTTTGGTAAAGATTATTTTCGTAGGTCATCATTTGTTTTCGAATTATTTTCTTTTCATTTTCCTTAGCAGTGCTACTTATAAAATATCAATTAGATTAACACTAATAAAGATATTGTGATTACTATGCTTGCATAAACTACCATAATTACTTATTTAATTCTTATTAAATAATTTTTCTTAGAATTTGGCTTATTAGCACAGCATCTGTCTATGCAAAATTTTAAATAGGTTTAGAAGTTGCAATTAAACTTTCAATTTGAAATTTAATTTGTTGGACTTAATCTACCAAATACTTATACTAGTCCCACAAAATTTCATAAAAAAATTGGTCTGCGAAATACAGCCTACTACGTTTTTTCATATAAGTATCACAAGTGTTTTAAATAAAAAGTTCGAAAGCAATATTAACGGAAGGACGGACCCATAAAGTGATTTTAAAAAGGCGGGAGATGATCCAAATCTACTTAATGCAAATGAATTTTTATACCCTTCACCTTCGTTAGAAAGGTATATACATATGTATGTAGATATAAGTTTGTAATTTCCACAATATTATTTTCCTACCCTTATAAATTATGTATATGGGCAATTTCATGTCAAGTGACTCAACTCAAAAAATCTATTATGATAAAAATTGCACCAAGGCACGGTGGTCAATTCCGGCCAAAAATGATTTCTTTCAATTATTTAATTCTGATAAATTTTTGATGGTAGATTATAGCTAACACTTCAATCGTACAATTAAAATCATCATAGAAATCCAAATTTTGAAAGACCGCAGAAAAGGAAAAGGGGCTATAAGAAGTTGGGTGAACACCATATATTTCAACTTCATAAAAATAGAGAAGGGGCAACATATTATCAATAGTACAAAATCAAATGGAGGAGGGAAGGGTCAATTATGGACTGAACTAAATAAAATTTGACAGAAGGATTTTACCGCCTATAAAACTTGTTTATGTTGATATTTAAAGTAATTTTTTGAAAGGAACCTAATATGGGAGGTAGGGTCAATTATGGACCAATTATCATAAAATTTACAGTGAAATTTAGGTTCCTATAAAACTTGTCTGTGTCGAATTTCATTGCCTGTAATGAGCGTTAAAGTAATTATCTGAAGGGGACCTTATATGGAAGGTAGGATCAATTATGGGCCGATTTCCAGAAAATTGGTCGAGAGGTATAGGTTCCTATAAAAATATTTTGTGTCAAATTTCGTTGCTTTACTGGTATTTTTAACCCAATTGTCAGCATTTAAGAACCTTATACGGGTACTAGGGTCAAATATGACCCGATATCCGCCATACTATACCGTAAAATTTATGGGTGCATGAAACTGACTTGTGCTAAATTTTATGGAAATTGCTTCATATTTAACGTATTTAAGGAGTTTTCTGTGGGGTCACTTGTATGGGGGCTAGGCGAAATCTTTAACCGATATTGCCCTTATTCAGTACCAAACATTGCCTATAAGAAACATTTATTTAAAGAAATAAAGAAGTTATAGATTTTTGGCCGGAATTTACCACCGTGCAAGGTTAGTACTATTGGATAGTAGACAAGACAGAAATTTTCAGCTCTATCGGTCAAGAACTGCCGGCGTTAGAGCGGGTTAGACATTTTGGTCATACAGGGTTTTTTCAAATGAGTGCAACTTATCAATTATTGGCTATTACTTCATTGTTTCATAAACATATTTATTTTAATACTATCCAATAGTACTATCAAATATACATATATTATAGTGTCCCATGAACAGAATGTGTTAATAGTTAAGAAACAAATTTTTGAAAGTGCTTGGTAATCCTGATCTCAGTAAAATTTTTCTAAAAATATTTTCTTCAATTTTATCCAAATGGCCATCAAAAATTCCCTATTTTCCTAAGATTATTACGAAAAAAAAACATTTGTAAATTTTTATACACTCCACCATCAGTGGTGAAAGAACCTAGAAATATTTATCTGAGTCCTAAAAAATATATATATTCTGGATACTTATGAAAATCTTTTTTAGTTTAAGAATTATGTATTTTAGAAGTTATCGAACCCACTGAGATCACGTCGAAATTTGTCATTATAATACGAAGTGCTAAAAGTTGTTATGTTTCTAACTGCAATTATAATTTTTTGTAACTCCTCAGAAATTGGAATTTAACCTTTGGTGTTATTATTAGAGTCTGCTTATCATATTTTCTTTCGTTTAAATAATAACTTTTAAATTTTAATTGAAAAGGAATACTATTTATTCTATAAACTACTTATTAATTTATAATTTAAACAATTGTATTAAAAAAAGAAAAATAATGTGATGAAGTTCAAATTTCCAAAAGAAAAAATAAAAAAAACATTATTAGAGATTACTGAATCGGCCTTCAGCTATGCCAATTTATTTTGTTGGCGTATAATAGTGTTTTTATTTTGTAGCACTGTGTAATTTTTAGGGACATATACGTTATGAAAGTCAAGACCGTACGACTTTTTACTTGGAATGAAATTTCAAAGAAAATAAGTCAAATAAAATGCCCCTCTCTTTTTGGCAGTTTTGAACTTTAAACATCGATGACAGTGTCGTTCTTCTTCATCTCCATAATATGTGTCTGCTTAAGTTTTTCCTGCATCTGGGTTAGCATATCTTGCATGCGTCGGATTTCCTCATCTTTCTGTAATAACAAACGATCAGTTTCAGAAATTGCTGCTTCAAATCCATTTGTAGAACTGATTGAATCGCGCTTCAATTTGCCACGTTCTCGCAGGGCGTGTTGCGAAATTTGTGAAATACATTGAGCACGAAAATTTTCATAATGTACATCTTGAGTAGTATCTTTTAGGTCTTGCATGTGAGTCGAAATTAGGAAGGTCCTTAATTTAATGAAATCACTGTGCTCCGGATCTTCAACATTGACTACTCCCCAAGGGTACTGTCGTCCACGAACTTTTTTTCCAGCTATGTCGAGAATCGCATTGCTTCCTACAACAGCAAATGGTATAGAAGCTTTTAGATCGCGATCCTGTTGTTTAAAATCTTCATCCTCATCTGAGTCACATTCGGGAAATTGATACAACTGTATATGACTATCTTCCAAATCTCTTAAGATGCGTTCCTTTAAATTTCGAACTTCGGACTTAGTTAAACAGTCTGATTTTCCAATTACTAGTACAATATTGACTTTTCGATGTAATCGCCTCAATAAATCCAAATCCATTTGACGTAAGCTACCACATATAATTTTAAATATATTATAATCCAAAAATTCAAAAATAACTTCATACCTGTGTCCCCACGGTGGCACAAAATATAAGCAACAATGCACTCTATTATCCTGTATATTTCTCCTGTTTAATCCACTTTCATCCGTAAAATATTGTCGAAACTATATGAATAAGAAACGGCCATAATTGTTTGTTTGTTTTTCTCATTAAATTGGAGACATTTTCCTACCTGTTCATCAATATACGCTGTGCACACTCTCCAGCTGTCTTCACAATTTATAGAATCACCGAAGCCTGGCGTGTCGACAACAGTTAAACGTAAGCGAACACCTCTTTCTTCGATATCCATAGTTTTCTTTTCGATTCGTGTCGTTTTTTCAATTCGTTCTTCTACTGGTGGAAAAATTCTATTCTTATACAGATCTCCTAGGAATAAACTGTTCACCAACGTCGATTTTCCTAGACCGGATTCGCCCACCACCATAAGAGTAAATTCGAATCCTCTTTTTACTGATTTCCTGTGCACTTGTTCAGGTAAGGTTGCAAAGCCTATATAGTCACGATCCTTATCAAACGACGGTGTTTTAGCTGGAATTATGTAAAGATTAAATACTGATATAATTCTTAGATTTATTAATTCTTTAATTTAAAAAAATAAAATAGAATCCTACTAGATTTAAAATATTTAATGACGATCCTCATAAAATTTGATGGAAGGATTTAGTTTATATAGAAGATTTTTAATTTCATCGAGATAATAATGTTAATAAGATAATTAGGGAATTCAAGTCATTTGCTGAAGCAGGGTTTACTACATGGGGACTGAGAAACATAAATTTTATTTGGCGGATAGAGTAAAAAATTGGTCAATCTTTTACCCTATCCCCCATATACTAATTTTATCAGAACATCAGTTTTTGAAAAATTGTGTATTTTGTATATTTACATATATTAAAATTGAGAATTCTAAGTTCAGATTTGGCGTAACATTAAAAAACCAAAATGTAGCAGCATTTTTTGATAACGTAAGTTAAACTTATGAAAATAGTAGATGTCTCTTAAATATTGTTGAAATTATGTTTTCCATCGCTTGAGGTGTAATTCTTTAATATGTCTCTAAGAAACCATTAATGAAAATCCAAAGTCTCTTGCATTGAACCATAAATTGAAAACCTAATGTAAATTTCTACGATTCTAAATTTATTTCTAAGAAAAAACTTTTTTGCTAATATGATTCGAATTAAATTGTGTGAGCGTTGGTATTTATATAATATTAATTTAAAATAACAATAATAAAAACAATTAAACACTCTTGCACAATGACGCGCCCACTTTTAATTAATAATGTTTAAAGTCGTTCTTTTCAATGTTTATAATATAATAATACTTAAGACAAAATAAAGGATACATTTCCAGTTCTTTAAAAAGCACTGTAGGGAAAAATCTACTTACACATATTGAAACTGTTTTTCAAAATTTATTTATTTAGTTATGTACTTTTGAAAACATTAAATTATGAATAAAAACATATTCTTGAAAAAATATTTCTAGTTTAAATCAATATTTTTCCTAATTTATCCCCGAGCCTTATGTGAACACTTTTTTAATGTTATGTTTTCTCTTCGCTTTCCAGTAAAGAACTAGATTGTGTCAGTTTTTCGTTTGTGCTTGAACTCTTAAAAGGATAACACTAGTAAAACATATACAATGCATATAAATTTGTTGGAAGTTAACAATGTGTATGTGTGTATACATATGAATGTATGTATGTATATAAAAATGAGTATGTATGTACAATATTTACTTAAAGGTCGTATTATGACTTTGTATGCTTCAATTAAATGGCTGGTTAATTTAATTGAATAATGAAATATAATATGAAAAATTCTATAATATTTTATTATTATAAATTTTAAGTATTTGAGGAAAATAGCTTTTTTTCCCATAAACAGTTTGTTATCATTCCCGTGAGATAAATACCGATTGCGCATGTCAATTCTAAAATAAATGTACATATGTATGAACATTCTCTTATCAAATATACCGTAAAAGAAGCACACTTGATATCAACTGTCAAAATTCCAAAATAAATAGTTTTGAGAAAAATTTTTGATTTCTTAATGTCAATTTGCAGTCTGAATAACCAACCATATCACAAAGGGAGCAAAAGGACCCACGTGTGCATCTATTGCAGCCTGAATATAATGTCAATTTAATATTTCTTAATTAACATAAACAAATCGTGCGATATTTTTCATCTGAGCTAAAACTGAATTTTTATCGATTAAAAACATAAGTAAATATTCTCATATACATAAAATGCCAAGTAGCACAAAAATTCGAAATTGATTTAATTGTATAAAACAAAGCCTTGAGGCCAAATAATACATTTTTAAAGGATCGAATCTGAATCTGATGCGTCTAATTAAATCACTTCAAGATTTATTAGAATCATTTTAATGTTAAACAAGTAAGAGTGTTATATTCGGCTATGCCGAATCTTATATACCCACTGCCATATAAATAAACTTTGATATTTTGAATATTTTATTATTATATGTATATCGGTTTAATGAGAACATCAGGGTAATATTTAAAAGAGGTCCATTAATGGGGGACAGTGCTCTTTCGAATTAAAAATATTAATTTTTATAGGGAGTAGGATTATTTATACATATGGATCAGTTCTCATAAAAGTCAGTAGGAAGATTTCAGTTCCTTATTTATTTCAAATTTCATAGATCTACTTGTATTTTTAAGCCAGTAACGAACATTAAAGTCATTTTCTTAAAGGGACCTTATACGGGGTTAGAGTTAATTATGAACCGATCCACATAAAATATGGTATAGAGATTTTAGTTTAAAATAAGTTGTCGAATTGCATTGCGGTATTCGTATTTTTCAGCCAGTACTGAGCGTTACCCCCCGTATAAGGGGACCTTATATGGGGGCAGTGATGCCAAGTGTAGGGATTTTTCCCTTTTTGTAGGGAATTTTTTCAAAAATTTCACGTGTAGGGAAAAAGGGAAATTTTTCTTACTATTGTAAAATTGTAGGGATTTTTCAATTTCATAGTTTTTAACAACTAAAAATATACTCTTTCATGTACTAAACGTTAAAATTAAAAATGAAATCAGTTTTAAGTGTATCGTTAGTAAAAATTCCGCTTGTAATTTCTACAATATATGTACCTACATATCGCTACAAGACTGGCATAATCCAAAATTCGGGTTTCTTGAACTGAGGTTTACAAAACATACTAAAATCTTTTATATAGATTTATCAAATTTCAAATATGTCTATTATTTTCGATGTGAAATCGATTTTTTGTAAACGTAAAAACTAAAACCCACGTTTTCGGTAATATTAGACAACTAAAAATTTAATTTCAATTTAGATGAGAAACATATTAATCTCAACTATCTGAATCTGGATTTTTAAAATCCCTTGATTTGTTTAAAAGTTATTAAAAAAATTGTTAAATGTCATTAAATATTCATATCCATTTTTCTTGAAACGACTTTTTGGATTATGCCAATCCTGTAGGGCGATATATTCTGACTCCTTATAGATAGAGTAGTCGGGGGCTTAATGCAGTAACTCAGGATTGAAAGAATGAATTTAATGTTCTGAAAATTTATAAAAGTAAACCGCAAAAAGTAAACGCAAAAGTAAACCTTATTCAAAATAATTATTTTATGAAATTTTTTTTGTTGGAGGTACATAAAATAAAGTTTTAACATCGAATCGTGATACTGCCATAAATCTTTCAATTGTCTTGTTTTTTTTTAATCTTAACTGAAGAGTCAGGGTTGGAAGATTTGTATGATGTAAATTGAAAGAAAAAAAATTTAAAATTTAAATTCTACAAATTTCATTCCTAAAAATTAAAAAAATACATATATACATATATATGTATATAATAAAACGGAGCTAATATTTAAGTTTTTTATGTATTTTTTTAAGATAAACTTTGAAAAAAAATGGAAAAAGTAGTGTAGGGAAAATGTAGGGAAAATAAAAAGTGAGTGTAGGGAAAAAAGGGATTTTTTCTCATAAGCGTAGGGATTTCTGGAAAAAATCTCCTGGCATAACTGATGGGGGGTAAGATTAATTATGAACCCATCATCCTTAAATCTTGTAGAACGATTTTTATTTATACAAATCTTATTTATGTATAATTTCTAGCCAGTAATTAGCGTTGTAGTCATTTTTTGAGGGGAAATTTATATGGGGTTGGGTAATTATGGACTGATCCTCATAAAAATTGGTAGAGAGATTTCCTATGGAACTTATCAGTGTCGAATTTCATCGCTGTTCTCGCATTTATAAGCCAGTAATGAGCGTTAAAGTAAATTCTTTCGGCAATTCAATTGGGAACTTTGTTTCCTAAACGATATCAATGCTATGACGCAAAGTGGTTGAAAATATAATTAGGAATGAAAACATTCAAGTCTTTGTTTAATCAGAAGTGTAAAAGTGCAATCAGATCTAGAGAGGAAGCTTTTAGAACTTGGCGCAATAACCAAAACGCGAGGTCTTCATGTGCCAGAGTGCTTAGACGCGAAAAGCAGCGCCTTCGTGCTAAGGTTCTTATTGCTTCTAGAGGCAACAAAACCTTTTGGTTGTTCGTAAAAAGTGTAAAGGTTTTAGTTCTTTAGTTCCGACGCTTTTCAGGGATGATCAAACATTAATCGATAAGGCTAAACTTTTACCTGAGTTAATTGCAAGTAATTATTGCTTGCCGGAAAGCGATTAACCATTGCCCGAGCTCGAAAGGGTATATTCTTTCGAACACGTGCGTAAAAAGGTTTTAGCAACCGCCAGTATGGTTTTTGTAGAGGTCGCTCGATTTATATCGAGCTTTCTCAGAGATCTATATTATCGCATCATGCCAACAATTTATTTTAATAGGAATATTAACATAATATTAGAAGGTTATCACCAGGAAAACCAAAAATTTACTCTAAAAAGTGTTTTAAGATCATAAAACTTAGGGATGCCAATCCCGAAATTTCGATCCCTTATTTGTTTCAAAACATTTTTTTATTTTATGTTTTGAGCCATAATTTTCATTAGTTTGAAAATTACGATCTTATTTTATTTTTATAGTTATGATAGAGAGAATACAATGTGTAACACCAAGAAATATTGATCTGAGACCTAACAAAGTATACATATATATTCCGGGTCCTTATCAAATTCTGAGTCGATTTCTCCGTTCTCTCATCAAAAATATTCATTGTTGTCCTAAGCAGTTATGAGTAAAACTTTCAGACTGCCTCGAAAAAAATTAAGATTTTTCGTAATTCTTAAGTCGTTTTTAACAAATGGATTTATCGTTAATAACTTCATAAAAAATATCAGTATCAATTCAGTATTAATTTTCACATCATACTACCAATCTAGATTTGTATCGGTCCACAATTGGTCTTAACTCCCATATAAGACCCACTTCCAAAATCACTCAAACTCGCACTTGTCATTGATAAATAAAGCTACCGAGATAAAATTCGACATGAATATGTTTTGTGTATATACAAATGACTCTACGAAATTTTTTCCGAATCGTTTCATAATTGGTCATA